ACATAACAATATAACAATAACAAACCCCTTTGATATTTGTAATACATTCAACAACTACTTTACTGGCATTGGTAGGGATGTCCAGGCAACAATTCCTTCATCCATGAATCATTTCACATATTACTTATCAAATCCTGCTCAAAATCCTTTCTTTATAAAACCTACTGACGAACATGAAATCTCAAAAATTATCGACTCTTTAGACTCAAATAAAGCTTCTGGACCAAATGGTCTACCAGTTAAAATACTAAAACTATTAAAAACTGAACTTTCAAGAATTCTTTCTAACATTTTTAATACCTCATTCTCAAGCGGTATTTTCCCAGAAAACTTAAAAACTGCCAAAGTTATACCTATTTTTAAAATTGATTCAAAACTAATAATGTCAAACTATAGGCCAATTTCCCTCCTCTCCAACATTGATAAAATTCTTGAAAGGCTAATGTTTAACCGCTTATACGAATACTTTAATGAAAATAAACTGTTTTGTGATCTACAATTTGGTTTTCGAACAAACTACTCTACATCACTTGCTTTACTAAGTCTGACAGAAAAAATTAAAAATTCTCTAGATGAAGGAATGTTTGGATGTGGTATATTTATTGATCTTCAAAAAGCATTTGACACTGTAGATGTTGACATTCTACTCTATAAACTATCCTACTATGGTATTAGAGGAGTTTCAAACTCCTGGTTTAAATCTTTTCTTACTAATAGAACTCAATTAGTATCTATTGGTGGAGTGAACTCAAACTTAAACGATATCAAAGTAGGTGTTCCTCAGGGATCTGTCCTTGGCCCTTTGCTGTTTCTTATTTATATAAATGACATGTCTAAAGCATTAAAATTTTGTCGAGTCCAACACTTTGCAGATGACACAAACCTTCTCTACTTTAATAAATCTGTAAAAAAAATCAACAAATATGTTAACTATGACCTTAAGAAACTATGCAATTGGCTTAATGCAAACAAAATTTCCCTCAACTCCAAAAAAACTGATTTAATATTATTAATATTATAGTCCCCACAAAAAATTAGACCAACAGATTAAAGTTAAATTAAATGGGAAAAATCTTTGTTGTAAAAAATTTGTTAACTACTTGGGTATAAAGCTAGACGAAAACTTAAACTGGGCTTATCATTATAACGATATCTCTAATAAGTTGAATAGATCCCTTGCCATTCTATCAAAGCTAAAACATTTCATTCAACAAAAAACTTTAAAATCTATTTACTATGCTTTATTTCACTCTCACCTCACATATTGCCTTTTATCATGGAGTCAAAATATGAGTATTATTAATCGCCTATTTATCATGCAGAAAAAAGCAGTCAGAATTATTGAATTTCTTCCAAAAAATTCACATACATCCACATCTTTTAACACATTACATATCTTAAAAGTACATGATTTAATTAAAATTGAAAATTGCTTATTTATTTACAGCTGCCTTAATAAAAAACTGCCTCCTATATTTGATGAATGGTTTACTCAACGCAGTGCAATTAGCAGCCGATTTACAAGAAATTCTTGTAGCGGTGCACTGAGTGTGCAAACATATAATACAAAATCCTATGGTAAACAATCCTTTAAATACTCTGCAATAATGAACTGGAATCAACTTCAAAATAAATTAAAAACAATTCCTTTTTGCAATATTAAAAAATATACTCTCAAAACTAAATTAAAATACTACCTGATACATCAAGATAAATTAAAACAGTAATTGAATCGTTGGTGATAAAAGATTTATGGCAATAGAAGTTATAAGAGATATGATATAAATATGAATGTTAAATAAAAGCAGCCTTATGTGAATGTATTAGCTAGCTTGTTTGTTTTTTTTTGTTTTTTTTTTTTTTTTATGTCTTGTTTTTCTTTCGTTTTTGTTTTGCTCATGGTCGCTCTCCTCGATTTAGCCAGGCTATATGAGAGTGAACCATCCAGAATATAGGCTATACATATATTTTTTTTTATTTGTATTTTATAACATGCTTATTGTAAAACATCTATATTCTTGGTAAATATATTGCTTTTTGCTGTTGTTGTTGTTGTTGTAGTAATGTACTACAAACCGAAGGTCTTACCTAATTTTTAACATCTGAAAATCGATATTTTCCTCGCTTAACATATTTAATACGATATTACTAAAATATTACAAACCAAATATTTTTTTATGAAAAAGTTAACTATGTATGTGTTTAAAATTACCATGCAGCAATAAAAGTTACACTAAAATTTTCAGTAAAATTGAAAATGGTTCATAAAAAAAAACATGTCGCTAAAAACATGATTCTAGCCTCCTTTCCGAATAATTCGATACGAGAATCCAACAAAGTGCAACACTAAGTGTGGCTTTTTTTACGCATATAATAAAGTTTAATTTCATAATTACAAGTGTGGCTTTAAAGCGCACAAGTGTAGCCTTGAAGTACACAATTTGTGTAGCCAAAAAAACGCTACACTAAGTGTCGTGTTTTTTGTCCACACTATTTTTAAGCGTGTATGATTTATAAACTATAATCTATACAATTTTTAAATAAAAGAAAATTGAGTTTAGTTATTAAGTCTAAATAAGTAACCAGTATAGTGAGGGAATTTTAACAAAAGATATCAAAATTGCAACAAGACGTTTCAGTTGATGTTTTATAGAATTGTAATGATACTTTGTGTGTCTATGTTATATGTATAATATATATATATATATATATATATATATATATATATATATATATATATATATATATATATATATATATATATATATATATATATATATATATATATATATATATATGTATATATATATATATATATATATATATATATATATATATATATATATATATATATATATATATATATATATATATATATATATATATATATATATATATATATATATATATATATATATATAAGAGCGCTATTAGACGCACTGGAAATATATAAAATTACTGTTTTAGGTCGTAAAAAAATCGGAACATTTGGCATGCGCTTTATTTTCGGATGATTTTTTTTTATATTTTAATTTTTTTTTTTTAATTTTTTTTTGGCTCTCTTTTTTTTTTATAGACATGCAACATATTTGACCATAAATCAAAGTTGAATAATTTGTATATCGCAAAATATTGTTGGATAACTTTATATGTTTTTAAAAATTGTTTACTGCTGTTTTTTAAAATATTCTGGTTGAGTCGAAACTTTACTTTTATTATAGTTTTTTATTGTAAACTTATTTGAGAAAAATGTAAAACTATTTTTATCTAATAAAGGCGGAAGTTCTAGTTTATTTACCGATTCGGAGAGTTGTGCAAGTCAAAATGCAAGAAAATCTACTGATAAAAGATATGGTAACTAGCAGTTGTAATTTTTTTTTTTTTTACAAATAGTATATTTAGCTTTTAAATTGTTTCTATAATTTATAAAAACAAAATTTTTATTGATCAACTTGTATGAGAAATTTAAAACTATTTTTATCAAACAAAGGTGCAACTTCTAGTACATTTAATCCATCAGAGAGTTTTGCATATCCAAATGCAAGTAAAAAATCTGCAGATACAATATATGGTATTTATAAAGTTGTTACCTAACTTTTTTTTTAGCAAAAGAAATATTTGGATTTTAAGTTATATATATGATTTATACAAAAAACCTTTTATCAATAAACTTATATGCGAAAATGTAAAAGTATTTTTATCTAAAGTCTTTAGTAAAGAGGGTGCAAGTTTTTGCACCCTCTTTAGTAAAGAGGGTGCAAGTTTTAGTACATTTATTCCATCGGAGAGTTTCGCGAGTCAAAATGAACGTCAAAAGTCAACAGATACAAGTTTTGATAGTAATCTAGCTGTATTTACATATTTTTAAACTTTTGAATATTATGGTTTAATTTAGTTCTATAGTTTATACAAATAAAATCTCCATTGATAAATTAATATTAGAAAATGTTAAACTATTTTAATCTTATGAAGATGCAAGTTCAGGTACATTTATTCCTTCGGAGTGTTGTGCTGTGTTTTAGTTTATACAAATAAAATTTCCATAGACAAAGTTTAATTAAAAAATGTTAAACTATTTTTATCTAATAAAGGTGCAATTTTCAATACATTTACTCCTTTGGATTGTTTTGAAAATCAAAATAAAGGTCAAAATTCTACAGATATTAGATATGGTAGTGACGCATCTGTTACCTTTTTTTAACAGTTTAAGTATTTGGGTTTTATTATATTTCTATGATTTATACTAATAAAAACTTGGTTTATAAACTTATATTCGAAAATTTTAAACTCTTTTCATCCAAATAAGGTGCAAGTTTCAGTACATTTATTCCATCGGAGAGTTTTGCAAAGCAAAATAAAGTTCAAAAATCTGCAGAGAAAAGATATGGTATTTATGAAGTTATAAATAAATTTTATTTTAACAAAACTGATGTTTGGGTTTTAGTTTTTTTATATGACTTATACAGAAAAACCTTTTATCTATAAACTTATATGCGAAAATGTTGAACTCTTTTTATCAAATAAAGGTGCAAGTTCCAGCACATTTACTCCTTCGGAGTGTTTTGCAAGTCAAAATGAATGTCAAAAATCTACAGATATTAGATATGGTAGTAACGCTTTGGTTACTTTTTTTTTTTAACAGACTAAATATTTCGATTTTAATATGTTTTATGATTTATACAAATAAAAGTTACATGCGAAAATGTAAAACTCTTTTCATCTAATGAAGGTGCAAGTTCCAGTAAATTTATTTTATCAGAGAGTTTGGCAAAGCAAAACAAAAGTCAAAAATCTTCAAATATAGGACATGGTATTTATGCAGTTGCTAATAAATTTTATTTTATCAAAATTTATGTTTGGGTTTTAATTTGTTTATTAGATTTATATAAATAAAAACATTTTTATCAATAAACTTATATGCAAAAATGTAAAAGTATTTTTTATCTAATGAAGGTGCAAGTTCTAATACATTTATTCCATCGGAGAGTTTTGCAAAATGAACGTCAAAAATCTACAGATACAAGATATGGTAGTTATGCTGATATACTTACGTTTTTTTAAGAATTTGAATGTTTTGGTTTAATTTATTTCTTTAATTTATACAAATAAAATTTCCATCGATACACTTTTATTAGAAAATGTTAAACTATTTTTTATCTAATGAGGGTGTAAGTTCAAGAACATTTACTCCTTTGGAGTGTTTTGCAAGTCAAAATGAAGGTAAAAACTCTACAGATATTAGATATGGTAGTTTGGCATTCGTCAACTTATTTTTTTGAATAGATTAGTTAGTGTAATATATATTTTTTATTTATACAGATAAAATTTCTTAGATACAGTTAAATGCGAAAATGTTGAACTCTTTTTATTTAATCAAGGTGCAAATTCCAGTACATTAACTCCTTCGGAGTGTTTTGTAAGTCAAATTGATGCTCAACAATCACCAGATAATAGATATGGTAGTTAAGCATATGTTACTTTAATTTTTTTTTAATTAAATATTTGCATTTTTCATTGTAGTTTTCTAAGCTTTAACATTGCGTTAGGTGTCACGTGGGGGTGGGAAGTGGTGTACAGTTAAAAATTTAGCTGATTAAAAAAATCTTGTTTATTAAAATTCATTTACTGGCTGTTCAAAAGGGCTCTAGAACAGTATGTCAAAGTGAACTAATAATCAATTTTCTTTTCATTTTGTCTGCAAAATAGACCTTTTAGACAAGTCAGTCTATATTTACGGACTGATTGGTCTAAAAGGTCAATTTTGCCAACAAAATGAACAATTTAAAAAAAAACTGAAAAAAATGGCATCTAAAATGCTTAATAGAGCCCGTCAATTTTACCTCAACTTTGCCCCAATCGTGACCCTTACCATTTTTATTTAGTTTTAATATTGCTCTTTTCTATTTTTAAATAAATGAGTGAAATATCATGAATAAAAAAGTGTTTATTTCAGCCTTAGCCTATTTATTTTAACATTCAGCAAATTTGACTTTGGCCCTTCTATTAACCCTTTTGCTCCATTTGTGACTCTTTGAAATTTTTTTTGGATTGTAAAAGTATTTTTTCTATCGTTTCCAAACAAACCTAAATAAAACAGGTTTTATTTGAGTGTCACGACATAAAAACGCGGCGGTATCTCAGTGTTCTTTGTGTCTCACAGCGTGCACATTGTTTCATAAAACGGTCCAATAAACATTAAAATTAAGCTAAATTCAAAAAATAACAAATTTAAAATGTTAATTAAACTTTTATGCTAGAATGTTTATAAATATTCTTAAAACATAATTAAATAATATATTTATAATACTATATATATAATTATCTGTAATATCTTTCCTTAAAAACATAATTCTTTTAAAAATATATATAATCATATCAATAAACATGATTTAATTAAGTTCTTTTTTTAAACATTTCAAAGACGTAGAAACAAGAAGCAGAGGTACAAACAAGAAAGAAGGAAAAATTTACCAACCTGAAATTGTACCAGGTATATTTTAGAACAATAACTTATGTAACAGGGTGAAACTATTAATTAACAGTAGATAGACAGGTTGTTATCAGTATTTATAGTAATAGGTGTTAATAATAAATGCATAAAATGAAAATACTTTTGTTAAATTATTAATGTATTACATTGTTAAACAAAACATTTATGTGTAAATTTTTTAACTGACATATGATATAGCTGATTTATTTTGACTGTAAAACAAATTTCAGAATGAAAATATCATAAATGGGTTTTGAATGAAGAGACACAACTAATACAACACTTTCAAAGTTATATTAATGAAAACAAAATGCCTGGTAAATTTTTTTTAATTAAATAGTTTCAATGTTAATTTACATATATAAACTTATATTAAATATAAATTTTGCAATTATTTTTGTTAGACAAAAAAGAAATTCTTCAGTTTTTGGAGGAGAAAATGATAGACGTTCAATATAAAACTGCAAGAACAAAATTAACGAACAAAAGAACTAAAATTCTGAACAATAAAAATCGTCTTTTGAAGGATTTAAACATGACAGAGTAGAGCCCGTTTAATTATTTGTAACATCACAAAAATAAATCCGTCAAACAGAACTTTTTTCAGAACATATTTCTGTATATTTCAATAATAAAACCTTTGATTTATATTTGATATATCTTTGATCTATAGTTATGATATGATCTATTATTTTCTTCATAGCAATAAGGTTATCAATTTTAGTAAGTTCTATATTTGTCTCTAATTAAAATAGCAATCTCTGGGTTTTCATAAACACTTAGCAATAAATCAAAAATATCTCTATAAATAAAAACTTAATGGTTTCAAGGCCTTCACTCCTATCAGTTGTCACTCAAGTTTCAGAGTATTTCCTATCAAAAATAGAAATTGAAAAAATTATTATATTAACATTAAAACGAGATCATAGGAGGAGAGGGGGGAAATAGACCAAGTTTACCTTTTTCTTATAAATTTTAAATTTTATTTTTGAAAATCTATAAGTACATCTATAATTATAAAGTAAATCTATAAGTATATCTATAAATCTATAACACAACACGGTATATTAGAGAGGCTCTTTTATTATGCTATCAATTTTAATCAAAGTTTTATATTTATTCATCTTGAAAGTATAAATACTTCAGAACGCACCTATAAACCTAATATGTTATATTACTAATAGGTTTTTATCATTTATTATTATATAATTAATTGACTGCACTTATAACTCTATACATAGATCATCCAAATCATATTTTAAAAATCCGGAAAAAATCCGGAATTTGTTTTCCTTTATTTTCTTTTTAATATACCTTTTAGGTAAGTTGTTTTTGAATTTTTTTGACACTTTTCATAAATTTTTGCGCCTTAAAGCGCTTTCATAACATTCTTTAAGTGATGAATGAGAAAGCTTAAAAATCAAATATATTACAAAAATATATACCTCAACTTGCATGTATTGAAAGTATATATTTTTAATTTTTTAAATATATTGCAAAACGGGGAGGGGGATTGTGTGGGGCAATTTTACGGGGTGTAAAACCCCCATCCTCCTATGATGGTGATTTTCAAGTTTTAATCGGTGTTTTTACGAATTCAGTCGGGTAGTCGGTTAAATTCTCGTTTTGAGGACCTTTTTTTTTTCTTTTTTTTCTTTTTTTTTTTTTTTCGCAGCTAGTTGGCACATTTTTAGAATTCACCATCCCCCCCCCCCTCATTTTATTTGTAAAATCGCATCTGACTGCAATCACTTTTACAAAATAAGAATATGCAGCTTTGCTTGCCGTTTAAACGACGATATTCCATTTAAGTCTTTTAATTTTTGATTTTTCAAGTTTTTCCATGTATTAGGACCCTGTGAAGTAATTGAAAACTCAGAAACCCGGGTTTTAGTTTTTTTAATATAATAATTATGGAAACTATTTGATTGCAGATTATAACTTTGAGAAAATGATGGCAAAAATATGTCTAAAAAATAATTTGGTAGCATATTATTTTTTAGATATAAAGATTAGAATCTGGTATAAAATAAGTTTTTTTAAGTTTAAGACTTTCATATTTGTCATTGCATTAGTAGGATTGTCCATTCTACCTAGATAATGAATTGCTTTACAACCATGGTTTCGTAAGCCTTGTAGTTTGATTAACTTTGTTTTGAGTGTATTAGCACACACTATATTAGCATATGTGAGATGACTGTTAATTAGAAAAAAAGTAGTTTTTTTAGACGTTTTTCCAATATTTTCGCTTTTCTAACTACTTTTTTTAAAAAGTGCAACTACCTACAAAACTCTAACTTTTTTAAAAAATTAATGCATTTTAGTTAATCAGAAATAGCTCATCTGTTTTAAAATGTCAAACTTGATATTTAAATTTCTCATTTAACACTTAGTTAATTTAAGTATTTAAATTTTCTCTATTATTTTAAGTATTTAAATTTCTCATTTTTGTCGGAAATTTTATTTCACTTACAATTTTGTTTTGATATTTTTCTGTGATTAACTTTTATTTTCCATGTAAAGATTTCGCTTTTATTGATTGATAAAAATTGAAGTTTATTGATCATAAAATGAAAAGGTTTTATTTATTTATAAAGTTTTTAGAGTTTTTTGGTGTTATAAAAAGTAACACCAAAAAACTCTAAAGTTCTTGGGTTTTAAACAATACGTTAAATGTCCATCTATTAATACGTCCTTGATTAAACGTTTACTCGTCTGCTCTTGTTGCTTGCGTATTGCGTAATAAACTCTTCTGTTTCATTAGGTTGTTTTTAATTTTTGTTTTTTTGTTCGCTGTAAGTTTTTGAAGTTATAAGCTGGAAATATGTTCATAAGTTTAAAGTTTACTATATATGTTTATTTTTTTCTATACCTTTTACTTTCATTTACTTTTTTCTCAGAGCAAACGTTTATAATTTTAAATTGCACTCTAAAAAGTTAATTTTAATCTCTTTTTTGTTTAAGTTGTAAATTATTCTATTCAAAATATGATTTTATTTTTCTATTTAAATATTTCTTTTTGTGGAAGGGGCAGTAGTGGGGGTTGGATGGTTGGGGGATGAGGTAACTGAATGTTGACTTTCCAGAGGAGTCTCTGGAAGTTTGATAGCTTGTTGACAAGGGGAAGGGTAAATAAATATTGCCGGAAAATCGTTGAGGTAATTAATGGACATTCCCTAGCTCTGGTCTGGAGAAGCTTTTGTTTAAATCTTATCTATATGCTTATATTTATTTTGCGGAAAAAGTGACCACGTGATCGAATCTTATTTTAGAAAACTTACTGAATAATTTCTTTACATAAAACAAATTTATAATGCAAACTTTGGAAAATAAGCTCTTTCCCCATTTGACTTATTAAACAAAATTTCTGAAATTTGGGGAACTCTTTAGTAATGTAGTGATTGTATTGCGTATTTTCGCTTCAATTCCAGTGACAGTGGCCGCAAGTGAGCGTTCATTCAGTAAATTGAAGCTCACCAAGTATTTTTTGCGCTCAACTATGGGATAAGAACGAACAAGTGACCTCGCCATTTTGAGTATTAAGAGTCTATTAGCACGAAACATTGACTTTCATGGCGTGAAAAATAAGAATGTAAGAAACAAAAAGTGGACTATTTAATTTATATATTTATATATCAGTAATAAGTAATATAACCAAAATGTTTGACTAGGCTTTTTTTTTTTTGGAGTAAGAGTTAATATCATATCATCAAAAAAATATTGGAGTTTTATAAATGTCACGTGGGAGGGGGGGGGTGCTAGTACAACATTTACCGAGTAAATGTACAAAAAAATCATTGATAGGAAGGAGGGGGGGATGTAACACCCACACTACACCCCCCCCCCCCAATTGCACCAGCCTTGATAAAAACCATTCTTTAAAACGCATTGTCGCAACTAGCCCAAATCTCCCCTAAACACAAAAATATAAAAAAAATATTCTGTATAGCTTTCTTTTAAACTAAATTTTTGTTTTAAGTTTTTATCATTTCTTCTTTAATGCTTCCTCTAAAAGGTGGCCTTTAGCTCAACCTAATTTGGAAATTTTATAAACCATAATATATGACGTTTTTAATTTTCAACCGACAATTTTAGATTTTTATATATTTACACCTAATTAAAACATGTACAACTAGTTTTCCAACCAACTAAATTGTTGACCTACTGTATTTTTAAACATATTTGTAGTAATCGCTTCGTTTATCAACTAATAAAGTCAAACATTTTCAAAACAAAACAACAATTATTTTATTAAGTGGCTCAAAGTTATTTCAAAGTAAAAGTATTTTATTATTTTGTATATACGCGTTTTAATTAACGATTAAATTGTCTTTTTAACGACTTCATAAGAAAATTAAGACGTTTTAGTAAATCAATTGCAACGTCTTGCTGTTAAAGTTAGTCGTAAGCGCGCAAAGTTATCACTTCGACATAAATTA